CTCATAGGAACCCCACAACACCCTGGGAGGATAGACACTTAGCATGGCTCCTGCAGAGGAGTAGGCTGAGGCTATGATTGCTGAGGTCACAGGCCAAGCACACAGTCAACTCAGAAACTCCCAGCAGGCCTATGTGAGCTCACAACCACAACCTGCTGACTCTGTGCAACTCTAGGGCACTTGGGGGCCCATATTCCTGCTGGCACTCAAAGCCACTGCAGAGAACGGCCTGGCTAGACACAGTCTGGACTCAGTTGAAGGTGTCACTGCCCGCGGGGCTTCACTTGGGAGCCAAGGACACGGAAAGCTAGGGGTACAAAGTAGGTGGACAAAGCACCCACTTTGCCCCTACAGATGGTTTTCCTCTGGAAGCATCCCATGGGCCCAGGGAAACCACATTCCTACAGAGCTAAGCCCACAGTAGTGACATCCAGGCTCAAATACCACCTATAAGTCTACAACTCTCACTTCCGCTTCTGGCCTGACCTTTGGCCCTGACTTCAGACTCAGACTAGCTGCCTCACAACACCTCTCTCTGGGTACCTACAGGCCTTGGTTCAAATCCCACTTATGCTACCACCCAGCAGTGACCTTGGACAAGTGGCAGCCTTTTTGTGTCTCTTCTTCCTCATCTCTAAACTGGAGCAGTCACAGTGTCCACTCAGCTGTGTTTCCGAGATGAGTAAACGGGAAGGCAAGTGCAATGCGGGCACGTAACCACCACACAAAACCTGCTGCTGCTGCTCCTGCCTGACTGTCATCTGAGCAAGGGTGGGCAAAGCCCACATCTGCTGAGAGGCCTGATCTTCACTGGTTCCTTGGCCCTAAGTGAGCTGCCTTTTTCTGGGTCTTGAATACATTCTAGACTTCATAATTCTAAACACAGATTCCCCTGACCTCTGTGTGTGTGGAGAGGAAGGTGCGAATCAGCTTATGTTCTAGGAAGTGAGAGAGGAACCCGGCTCTAGGCTAAGAAGAGAAAAGACAGGAAGGACAACAGTGAGTTTCTCACGTGGGGCCGTGGTACCCACTGGGATTACCTCCTCCCTGGTTTATACCTGCAGTGGGAGGAAATAGTCATGTAGCATTTCTTTCTTTTTCTGAACTGGGTGGGCCAACAAGAAGATCCACATGTGTCTGTGTTGGAGCAAAGTTCACAGCATTGTAGCCATGACAGGCAGGATGAAGTGTGCTGAGGAGAGAAATAACCATGTGTGCAGCTCCGGGGACAACAGCGGGACAGAGGGGCCAGGGTCCCCAGCTGCTTGTCTGAAGGTGAACCACTGTCCCTGGCTTATGAACCATGGCCAAGGTGCTGAGGAATTCTCTAGGCCACAAATCCTGGACCTCATGACACCTCTTCCCCACCCCAGAGAAACTCCTAACAGCTTTCCTATTCCTAGATGCTCAGACATTCTCAAACATTGTCTCAGAGGACATCTCCACCTCCACTGCCAATGTCAAGGCTGTCTAGCATTTTTTTTTGTTTGCTTCCTTTTGAAGCCACCCCACTCATTCATCTGGTGGTTCTCAGGCTTCAAAGGGGCTACCCGTTTATATGAAATTATGTTTAAAATATTCATCAAGGCAAGGCAATGGCTCACGCCTGCCTGCAATCTTAGCACTGTGGGAGGCCGAGGTGGGTGGAATGCTTGAGCTTAGAAGTTCAAGACCAACCTAAGCAAGCGTGAGATATGTTTCTACTAAAAATAGAAAAAAACAGCCAGGTGTTATGGAGGGCACTTGTAGTTCCAGCTACTTGGGAGGCTGAGGCAGGAGGATCTCTAGAGTCCAAGAGTTTGAGGTTGCTTTGAGCTATGATTCCATGGCCCTTTACCCAGGGCAACAGAGCGAGACTCTGTCTCAAAAAAAAAAAAATCATCTAAGTAGTACATACATGCGATTGATAATTATATACGAGGTACAGCGGAATGAACATGAGAAGGTGCTCTATGTCACTGGTCATCAGAAAAATGCAAAAACATAACATGACACTACCACAACCCCACTGGAACAGCTGAAATGAAAAGGTTGGTGAGGACATGGGAGAACCAGAACTCTCATATGCTGTTGGTGGGAGTATAAGATGGTTTATCACTTTGGGAAATGGGTTGGCCCTTTCTTACAAAGCTAAACATAAGAGTCAGCAATTCCACTCCTAGGTATCTACTGCTCAAAGACATGAGCAAATATTCATCAAAAGACAGGTAAAAGAATGTTCCTGGCAACACTGCTCTAAGCAGCCCCAAACTGGAAATAAGCCAAATGTCTATCAGCTGCAGGACAGGGCAATAAGTAGGGTTTATGGAACCCAGGGCAATACAGGGCAGTAAGTAGTGCCATGGAACACCACTCAGAAGTCACACTGCTGCTAATAATCCTATAGCTGACTCTCACAAACACGATGCTGACAAACAGAGGCCAGACACACTCACGAAACACATACAGAGTGATTCTATATTCTCTAAAATTCAAAACCAGGCAAAACTAAGGCTGTGAGAGTCAGGAGAGGGGCACTTTGGGGGTACTGACTGAGAAAGGCAGGGGCTTCTGGGAGGCTGGCCACACTCTGGTCCTATACTAGGCGCACCTGGTCTGTGACATGTTACACTCACGATTTGAACTCTTTTCTCAACATGTGTTATGTGTCCATAAAAGTCAAAAACAATATACGAGTATTTATATAATGAAAAGCCACGGAACATAGTCGGTTCTATTCCCCTTAGAGTGCCACTTCTAATCCTTTCAACTGTCTTCCCTGGTCCCGACCAGCCCTATAACACACAGCTGTCCTCCTGCGCTGCCTTTTCAGTGCAGCAGACGCCATCTGCTGATGCCCCGTCTACAAGGATAAGGATCGTCCTCACTCGTTCCCCTGCTCTCCTGGGTGACCTCTCTAATCTTACATGGGGCTCTGACAGCTTTCTTTTGTGTTGTATCTGCCACTGACAGGAGGGGGTTGTCACCTGTCAAAGTATAAGTAAGAGGCTCTGCAGAATGAGGCAGGCAGGGCAACCCAGGGAGGCCCTACCTGGCTTCTGGCGCTCCATCGTGCTCTCCTGACTGGTCAGGCCGCCTGAGGAGGAGTCGCCGCTGGATGCTCCATCGTGGCTGAAGTGGGGATCAAAAGACAGCAGTGTGTGCGGGGCGGCCGTGTACCTGCAGGGGAGTGAGACCATCACAGGATGAGGGACTGGTGTGTCAAGAACCACCCGAACCGAAGCTTGCTCACTAGTGGGTTGTAAATACACAGGAGGCTGTGCTGTGGATCTGGGAGAGAAAGCTTCGGCGGGGCAGGTGAGTAAGCCCAGAGACACGCTATTAACTGAGGGCCAGGAATGAGAGACTTGTCTGGGAAGCCTGCCAGGGAGCTGGCAGTAGCAGCGAGTCCAGGGCAAGGTGTGTTTCTCCAGGAGGGAAGGGGCAGAGCTATCTGGGCTGACTACCCCACCTTTAGGCTCCTCAGGGGGTCCTATTGGCTGTGAAATATGGTGAGCTGGTGCCAGCCATTATTGCCCCAGGCCTATCTATGGGCTCCCTGTCTCAGACAGAGAGGAGCAGGGTAAGAAAGCATTTGTAGGTACAGGAGGCCTGGGGTGGGCCAGGCTGGGCTTCAAACCTTACCACTGTCCCTTGTCCAGCCAGGTGCAGGCAACTCCTAGCCCTGAGCCTCAGTTTCTCTCACTGCCAAGAGGCAATCGGAGTACGCCCTTCCTTGCAGGACTCAATGATGCCCCACTGTGCTTAGCACTTATGCCTAGGGCTGACACATGCTAGTGGTGACTTGTGACCATTGGCCAATAGGCTAAACCCTGTGTGTGACCCTGTATTACAAGGGACAAGCTGTGGGCTCAGGCTTCCAAGAGAGGCATATGTGGGCTCGAAGCCCTGTTCCACCTGCCCAGACCAGCTGCCTGGCTTTGGTGGGGCAAGTGCTCATTGATTCGAGCAGCAGTTTTTCCATCTGAAAAATGAGGTAACATTTTCTCCCTCACAGGGTTGTGGAGCGGATGAAATAACAACGCTACCCCCCACATAGAGACCTTCCTGGGGGCCAGCTCAGCATGCCCACTGGCAAGGGCCAGGACTTAAGGGAGGCAGCAGCACAGGGTTGTCCCTATGGCCTCCTGTCCCAGCGGCATTCTCTATGCCATGGAATGAATCCCCTAGAAACTCCTCGCCTTGCCTGAGGTTGATTCAGGGACAGGCCTGTGACACAATTTGGCTACTGACATGTGAGGGTTATTAGACTCCCACGACATATTTCTGGCTCTCCACCTCCAAGTCTGTGGCAGGACTGAACTTCCTGGTCCCTGGAGATTGGCTGGATGGGGTCATGTGGCTGGTTCTCATGGATGAGCTCTGAGGGAAGGGACTGGAGGTGGTGGCTGCTCAGGCACCCTGGGTCCTGAGAGGTCCACTGCCAGTCAGCAGTGGAACTGTAGAGTGACTGAGAAATAGATCTTTCTTGATTTAAGTCATGGAGATTTTGAGGTATTTGTTAGCTAGTATAGCCTGACTGAAATGGGGGAAAGTCTAACTAGGAGGCTTTTGGGAGAAAGTCTTGGTCCTGAGAGAGATGACAAGAAAAGATGGCCTCTCTTTGTGCTTCAGATGCTTCTGGGTGCAGACAAACGTTACAAGCTGCATTGTCCTCCTGTGACCAGCCTGACAATGAGGCCAGCACCGAGTGTGGGAGCGAGGAAGCAGGAGGAACTGGCCCTTACTAGTGTTGTCAAGGTGCTGGGTCCACCTTCCCTGGCGCCTGCCCTGCCTCCGAGCTCCCTTTTCTGTGAGGTAACAAATCCCTACAACATTTGAGATAGCTAGAAGCACCCCCTCTACACAGGCCTTGTACTTTGGAGGAGTTACTGAGCCTGCATTAATATAATGCTGCTATTGCAACTTCCATTTGGCCTCTGGCATCTGTACTTCCACCTTGGGAGAAGCTGGTGGTGAGGAGAGGTGACAAATGGGGACTCCCCCACATTTAAAGGAGGAATCAAGTAACTTATCCAGGGTCACTGGATAAGTCAGAGCAAAGCCAGGGCTGTCTCTACAAAGATCACGCTCTAAACCCCTAGGTTTCAATCCTCCAAGGACAGCAGAAGGGCGTTTGGGAGGGGTGCTGCTGTCTCTGAAAATTCAGCTCTATCCACTTGCCAAGAAAAGACTTGCTATCCTCCCTTCCCAACCAGGCCTCACTTTCTAGCACCTCCAGGAAAGGAAGCCAAAGCCAAAATACAGGAAGCACAAAGGGTTCATTCTTAGTTTTCTTAATGTCCAAGGCCCAGTTTCCACCAACTTATGGGACTTTACAAAGGCAACTGTGACTATAAGCAATGTTCGCCTTGCTGGCTGGCTCCATGCCTGGCTAGCTGCCTGGTAAATGCAGATGAAGACTGAAGCATTGATGGACTTAGTCAGTTTTACCCAAAAGCCACAATTGAAAAGTACTAAAGGAAGATATCAGTGATGGCCAGGAACAGCCAGGGGAAAGCGGGAAGTGTGGGTGGCAGACACTGCTGGCTGCTTCCCTAATACCAAGTCTCTCCCTTCTCCTCAGTAACAGAATTCCAACTGTATCTGGGGCAGCAATGCAGTCGCTTAACAGACTACATCTCCCAGGCTCCCTTGTACTTCCAGCCAACGAGATAAAAGTGGAAGCGCCACGTGTACCTTCCAGCCAGGAAAGCATCTCAGAAGGGGACCTCTGTCTCTGGGCTCTTTCTGGCTGTTGCTTGAACATCCACCCTGGGCAGGTGGGAAGTAGCAGGCTACGTGGCACACAGTATCAGGGAGGGGGACCTGGGGTCCCTAAAATGTGGAGAAAGAAATTATATTGTCTGGATCACTGTTTTCTCTCTCTTTCCTTCCTCTTTCTCTTTCTTTTATTTTTTGAGAAGTCTCATTCTGTTGCCCTGGGTAGAATGCTGTGGTG